ATGGATATAAAATCCAACTTCTCAGTGATTTACAAAAGTCTGACCACCTGTCATAGATAGACTGAATCAATATTCTTTAAACGGTAGAGCCAAATGAAACTGAGTATATAAAAAAAAGAACTATATGTTCAAAAAGCCTGCATAACTATTTGGATTTCCATGAACATCAATTTTTAGACTGATCCCTTAATTTGTAAATGACCATATCTGGTTTGTGTATTTTTTGTTTACATGTATATCACTAGGTATTTTCATCTATCAGTTTTAATTCTCAAGTGTTTCTTTATCTGCTTTTACAAAATATTCATAGACTCTTTCATTCATTCTATCCTCTGACATTTTGCACCTCCGCATTGATCAGTTTCAGTGGACAGCAGTTGTGAAAGACCATATAAACTTGATTATTTTTCACTCATAGGCTAATCTGGTATACCTCGTAGTATGTTTCAAGAGATATTTCCGTTATACGCATACATTTATAGCAGTAGAATAGTACGGATTATCATTATTCCTGTATATCTTATTAATAAGATGAGTACCAGAAACTTGATGAAGGACGACATACGGAGAGTGCTTGTTTGCAGTCCAGAATTAATTAAGATGAAATAAATCAAATGTACAAATCACTGTAACCAAAAGACTTATATTTCATCACAGTGACAACATATTAAATGTGTGTATTTGGTAAACACACGCACATATTGATAAAGCACAAATTCCTGGACATAGTTTACTACAAATCACCAAAACAAAGTAGGTACGTAAAACTCTGTCCCTGGATGTTGATGTTTCTATTTTAAAAACAAAACTCATTTATAGACTTTCATTCTGTTGCAGTGCACATTTCTTTCCCTTATGTTAACTAAGTCGGAAAGACCTTGAAAAGCCGCTGGAAATTTTTTGTAGCCGTCCTGTATCGTCTTAGAAATAAATAGTTTGGGGAAAATATGATGCAGGAAATTGTTTTCTCAGCTTAACCAGAATTTATTCATAAAATGCTCACTTCAGAATGAAGTATGGGGAGAAATTAGCGAAATTTGCGTAGTCTTTATTGTTTTTAAGTAAAATCATACATTCCAGTGGTCACCACAAGAGTGCCACCGAATATCCGACTCTATATATATGTTACTGGAGTAAAGTCTTTAACTCATTTTAACTATGCCGTAGGGGAATGATTTATCTGGAAAAACCCCTATGAATAATCTATTCACCATAATAATAATTATTTGAATATCTCAAATAACTTTGTAAGTATTACCCTTCTCTCCTGAATTGTATATTATCATTCTAGCATTCGCATATTTCCTTCTGACTTAATCGTTATTATTCGTCTTTGTTTTTGGTTGATTTGCATTCTTAATGCTTCTCTTCTTTTGTGTGTAATGGTAATAATAATCTGTTGTTAACCATCTGTGATTTTGTTTGAGTGAAGTCAAGGTTGCGCCATGGAGTGACCGACTGACCTTGGACTGTCTGCGGAAAAAGTGTTCTGTTCTGTATGGTTTTCGCAGTGTTTCGACACCACTTTGTTTGGAGCACACTAACTGATTCACAGTAATTATTTTGTATCTGAAATCTTTTTCACTGTATACCAACCATATGGCACTGTTAAAGCACTTTTATACATTTATATTTAAGTTATTACTGTTGAATAGTACCACATATTCTGACAAAAAAACGTGTTTCGACATTTGTGGAATATAAGTTTTGACTGTAAGTAACTCAAGGAAGTCTGACAAACTGTACGGAAGAAAGGATCGGCCAAAATACTCGAGTTTTGGTCATTTTGTAGGCCATAATAATAATGATGCGGGTCTAAGCTACCAGATTATCATACTGGAAACAGAGGTGGTGTAGATACTTCTGTAGATAACTAAGTAATCTAGTGGTAGATTATGTGAGTTGGTCGATGTGCTTGGAGATGTTTGTGCTGTTCCGTAGGGGTTTGTAAATTATAAGAGGCCAACCGAGTTCTGACTGACCCAAATGACAAACTTCTAAAACTTCCAGAATTTATCACACTTCTTGCGGTTAAATTCATGTGTACGATTGCACAGATGCACTCAGCTGCAGCAAAAACATGTCATAATTTAATAATTCCTTCTATGTGCACATGAGTCTACTAAACAGCTAATTCAAACTGGTAGATTCAGGTGTTTTTCAACAACAAGATAATTTTCATCTGCTGTATACATCTACTGTAAATCACCACATTTTCATTTGATTGACTATTAGGCGTTTCATAAGTTGTTCATCTTCATTTTAGAACTTATTGTTTACTGATTTTCCCTTTATACACTATACTTCTCACGAATCGAAGTAATGAAAAAGAGTTAGGTACTCATATTTACACTGCTTTATGGGCTTGTAAGAATAACCTTCAAAGCGTGAACAGATCCGTCAATAGCAACGCTTCAGTGGTTATGCAGCATGACATGATTCCTTAGGTAGTTTACAAACACGTTTCATGATTTCAGATAAGTGAGACTGTGAAAACATCCAGTACATACATAGAACGAATGAAGGATTTATATATCTCTGTTAATATTCCTATGAAAGAAAGTGAATTAAGCTATGAAGCGCCTTTACTAGCTACTTTTATTTCTGTCACAGGTCCTAACAGGAACTGTCAAGTTAACAGAAGGAGTACGCTTAAAAGATGCCATACACCTCAGACTTATCTGAGTAATTTTTACTAAGAGATATTCTTTTAGTTAGTCTAGTAAGTATTTCACAGCATATGTTTTTTCTCTGAACTGTTTTTCTAACATATTATTTTCTATTTTTAATGATGTATGATTTGAGTGAGTTAAGTAGTATTGGGGAGAGGAGAAGCAACAGTATTTCCCAATCCCATAGATAATATCTTCTTATATTAATATGTTATCCCCTAGAAGTCTACGGAAGGTCAAGTTTATTTTCAAATCATTCTAAAATACCACTAGTCCCAATTGAGTACTAGGAATAATAATGATGCCTCGTGTAGGGTAAGGGGTAGTAATGGTGAATAAATGTGATTACGCTGACAGAATGAATTCGCTTCTAACCGATGAGAAGAAGTTCTAAACCTAAGAACTTAATAGATTTAGTTGGGAAGGCAAGAAAGCAGATAATAAATGCATTTAAGGAACTGGAGAGAAATACATTAATCTCACAGGCAGCCTTCAACTGTCTTAAACATACTGGGAGAAATGCTTCACGGTTGTATGGTTTACCCTTCTTCTCCGCCCAGTCCTAGACAAGTTTAAGTCCACCTACCATGGAATCGCAAAGTGGCTAGGTGAACTCCTCCAACCATCACACAACAAAGTAGTAAATCATAGTATTAAGGGCGTCTTTGGATTCATTTCTAACTTACATGATGTTAATGTAAATGGGTAGTAAACGCTATCTTTAAATGTCACATCAGTGTTCACCAATGTACGACTTACGGAGATTGTGGAATTCATATTATCAACAAATACAAGAAAAGACGTTCTATATCGGAATTCTAATAATTAGTCTCAAAGTACTGCCTCTAAGATACATCATGAATGTACACTTCACATTCAACAGTCTTTACTACAGACGAATTGACGGTATTGCCATAGGTTTTCAATTAGGCTTAATTTTGGCAGGTTTTCTTGTTGCCAGTCTTGAAAATAGTCTATTGAAACAAGTTATAGATAAAATGGATTCTTATTTTCGTCATGTCGGTTATACGTTTATTATTCTTGATGCGAAAATAGATAAGAATGAAATGTTAATAAAATTTAATGATTCACATTTGTCGCTCATGTTCACTTATGAAGACGAATGTGATGGTAAATTACACTTTATGATGTCTAAATCGATACAAAATTAGTTTGGTCAGATGCTTCATGATCACAGCAGGAGAGATCTGTACCGTTGACTCCCTATGAGATGAATTAGGATACAGTCGAAATACGCTGGTTCAAATGGGTAATCCCAGTAGATTTGTAAGAAGGCATATGAATATCGTGTATAACAAATGAAAGCTGACAACGGTTAAAAAGAAACAACTGTTCATAGAACTGCAATTCACTGGGAACATGGCTAGTGAAGTCCTACATCTAAGATTATGTAGAGCAACAAAATGGACTTATACTGCTGCCCCTCACCTTTATTTCTCATTTCCGAGCCAATCGATAAGTATTGCTTAAGCAAAAGATGAAATGCATGGATGTGTCACTTCTGTGTACACTTGTAAATTTACCTGCTTACGCGGAGAAAGCTGTATAAGGAGAACAACAATATAGCTCAAAAAATTCATTACTAAGAATCTTCCTTCATGGTTAGTAAAAGGATAAATAAAATGCATAAGAGGTCCTCTTTTGTCTCATTTGATTGATAACGGTCAGCAAGTGTGAAGAAGAAGTGCCTTAAGAGTTATCTATAGCATTCCATCGAATCTTCCGAACAGAATTCGACCTCGCCTTTTCCCCCTAAACAAAGCTGTGAGAATTCAAGAGAACAATCCTGGCCTTTGCAAGCAAGAGAAATTTTTCCTACCTTTATCTCTCCCTTGGACTAAGTATATACTAATTAAAAACTTTCCACCCTTTTTGATTTCCCACTTCTTTCATACCGTTACATTTAGTTAAACTCTGACTACCTATTTACTTCACCTTCGGTATCACGTAACGTTTAGGGTTTGACCTAATATGTTTGTTGGATTGTTTAGGTGAATATACTATCTTCGTTATTCTGACTGACATCTGCATAAACACCCCGTACTTTTGTTATTGTTGACCTTATTTTATCATTAAGTATGCGATTATTATAAAGACTGTTGTTACTAACGTCAAAATTATTTTTGATCCACGAATTCACCGTAATTAGTTAATTTTTGATATATAAAGCTATGTACATAGCGTAAAGCCTGAAGATCTAAATGAAAATAATATTGTTCGCTTATATGTCTTCTTTTGATTTTAACAATGGAAATATTTAACGATGTTTTTATCCATGAATTATTATTATTATATTATTATACTTACTTCATTAGGAGAATTTAAATTTCCCAAAGATTCAGCATCTTTATACGATGGGGAGTTTACACGATAACCTGGAAATTGTGAACAGCTTGCCTTAAATGTTGTGCAGAGTTGATTATTTTGTTGGAGTGAGGAATTCGCCCCCATCAATAACTTGAGCTCATGATCAGGTGAATCTTAACAAAGTACAAAAAAATATATGGCATTTTGTCTTTCGTTGAAAAATAAGAATAGGATTACTTTCAGTGAAAATTTCTTCATGAACCAACATTAGTTATAGATCATTGAAACCTATGGAGCACTTGACAGCTGTTTCTATAGTCTATATTAACATTAATCTAAATTCCTACAAAAGCCCACTAGCTAAATATAAACCTTTAGCTCACTGACGACTACCAGATAGGTGTCCAAAAGCTGTACTGGAAAGTCATGTTTATCATGTCAAGGTGAAGTGGATACTCATTGATGACAGTGGTTAAGGGTAGCTCTAAATAACCAATTGACAAAGTTAGGATTTACGGGTGGCTGAATTCCAGTTCTTTTAACTTTATGGTTAACGAGTTTGGTCTCATAACCTGAAGGTCGTGGATTCAATCGCTGATGGGGTAATGAGTGCTCATCGCTGAAAACTCCCAAAGTGGGACGAAACATTTGTCCAGTGATCCAAGGTTCTTAATTATTTCCAACTGATTCGGGTTTATGACGAATTCCACAGTGAAATTACTTTCAGTCCATACAAAACCTATAATCCTGATAATATCACTGTTGCTAACTAGACAGACATAAAATATTTCACTTAACACTGTTTGATGTGCGTTTTGTCCTGTCAACGACAATTATAATAATAAGACCATACACCGATTGGAATTGATAAAAGGAAACAAATCATGCCCCTCATTAGTTCTGTGCATCAAAATGATTTCAAAAATAGGTTTCATGGTGACATGAACTTGTTCAGATCTATGTCTGATCTCAAACTGGGTTCATTTAAATCTATTACTGTAGGAACAGAACTTGGACAGAAAGGTAGCACAGTTTGTCTGATTTAGTACATTATGACACAGTATTATCAACGGGATGATATTCTGAGCAATATTTATTGGTCGTAATCAAAACGTACTCGAAATGACACTCAGTTATTAATGGTGTACCGCTATGTGCTATAAATTTATCCAATATGGAATAAAAATCTGTTAGCTAAAATACTGCTTGCACTTGGTGCACCTCTTATCGTCGAGCTGTGATTCCATCCATTGTTTTAGTAATCGGACATCATTATTTATACAGAACTCATAAATGCCACGAAATATTTTTTCTCCCAATGTTGTTCGACTGTATTCAGTACAGTATCAAGATAGCGTACAAACACATTACTAGTCACATCACATACGGTTTTCGCGTCATCAAAGTTCTTTTATAGAATCCATTCCTGTTTTAGAAGGGATATAAATGCTCACTTACATTGAATTTAGGTTCATATTTCGTCAGATCTACCATCTGAATTCATGAACATTTTACGCATGTTTACGTGTTTTTATATTTCACGTCAACTATTTGTAGCGCAATAAAAGGTAAACATAAGAATAACGAATGAAAACTAATATGCCTAACAATCGGTTAACAAGTATCCAGTTAATCATTACTAGGCTATTATGTCAACGATCTCTCGACTGGGCTGAAATACAGTAAACCTAAGTAGCTAAGATCTTCATTTTAGTTTTGATATTTCCCATAAGTTTTGTGGATGAAAATCGTTCTGTAGATATTTATGTTTGTTGTTCTCTAGATCTCGAAGCTATTCAAAGACTTTTGATCAGTTATTGCCTAGCTTCTAAAATTGACTACAATACATTTAATAAATTAGGGATAGATGTTTATTCATTATTCATCGCGCTAACTATTTCGTTTCATGAGAGTGAAAAGCAGCTTTGATTGAATACTAGGCAGTAAGTTCTAGTCATTTGTTTGGTGCAGACAGAATTCTATCAGTCAAATTTTCAGTGTGGTCACTATTCTGGGTAGCACTTTATCACTATGTCTTCTGAAGTGTTGTTGCAAACTTTAACGATACATTTCAGTCTGCACCAAACAGAGGACTAGAACAATGACACTTTTTGATTACGGCTTGGTGTTCAGTCAAAATATCCATTACAGTCATACAGGAGGTCATTCTCAAGCCCAAACATGTTAGTGGTACTGTCCCTGACTGCTGAACTTGGTGGTTTACGTTCGAATCTCAGAAGGAACATAAATTCCTTTAAGGTAGCTGATACGCTGTGTTGACGAATGCCAACTAACACGAAATCAAGACCCAAGGCTTTCTGCTAATTGCTTCCAACCATCTGATAACAACAGATCAGAAAAGCAACTATTGTTTATTCCTTTTTGTTCGCCGATAAGTTGTTAAATGGTTAAAATAATAATGTGATTATTTTCATTTTCAAATCAGTGCGCCTAAATGTTTACAGAACTTAGTTGCAACATTCGGACAATTAGACAGCATTTATCACTAGGGTGTTTTGTCAAAAGGTGAAACGAGAACAGAAATGGTTGTATTATTAAAATTTCATCAAAGGTATGTTACATTCTAACTGTTGAAAAAGTTGTTTGACAGTTCAACTTTCCATTTAATTATCAGTTACGTAAAGCAGTACTATGTATTAACCAAGAACCCTGTATCACTGTATCACTGCCCTCGATTACCAGCGCATTATTGATCATTCTTAGTACCAACGAATAGTTACGCCGACTCAAAATCAGATTTCAACATTCACAACTTTACTTTAATTCAAAATGCAGTAACACAGGGATGAAACACAGAAGAGAAGAAGGCCTCAAAAAACAAGAAGATTCTACCTATAAAAAGTATGTGTTGAAATTCAAAGTAAATCTTTTAAATACCTTTTATGAATATTTTTCCTCCTGTCCAACACCTCAAAAAAGCTTCATTGGCGCAAAATAAACTTCTTTAAATCCCAGTTATTCATGACACATTTTAATTCAGCAGCCATGAGCTTTCCTTACCAATCCTCTTTGAATGATGATATTAAACGGAAAATCCCATCATATTACCACTCGACTTTTAATCCTTCCTTTGTATATAGAATTTTGTGTTTTATTTTTGCTATCCTTGGTGTCTTCACTTTCGTCAGCCTCTTGTCTTTATATGAATTCTCAGAGTATCTGTGTAGTTTTGAGGTGTCAGTAAGTAGCCTTCAAAATTCTGGCCTTAAGTGGGATATCTAACACGGATATCCTGAAACAGCGTATTGCGTCCAACCTTGTCACCTACAGTGTTCGTACACTGATGCGAGTTTGACGGCAGACACTTCTGGCAAAAAAACTGAAAAGCCTCGCTACCTATACCTGTTGCATTTCGGAGACCCGTACTCAAGATTCCAGTGAAGTGCTTCGAATATCTTCTCTGTTTGGAAGTTCGAATATATGTACCACCAGCACTTATTCAGCGTAGCTGGTGTCGATGTCTCATAAAGCGCTAGACCCGAATCGCCATTACTCTACTGAATCCCAGGTTTACACCCATTTATGTGCCGTGAGTCTGGAAAATATACGATAGTGAGAAGCAATAGGCTATATGGGTGGTGCCTATTTGTTATCTCTGCTTATGGACCGATGGAATGCATCAAGGATGCAATTAAGGATGTGTTTTACATGCCAGGTGCACCCTGCCATTTGGTAGGATTTATAAACGGCATTCTCTACAGGTTGGTTTGAGTAGACTGAGAGGATCCGCTTCCTCACTGAAGCACCAGACTGATTTACAGTCAAGGCTAGCTAGCAACCCTCCAAGTAAAATATATATGCATACTGACTGCAACCACAGAGCAACATGCAAATGGCGATTGAAGCCGCCTGCAGCTAGAAAGAATGCTCTGCTATAAACCACTGGGTTTCTATGAGTTTCCTACAACTTTTGCATAAATGCTGGTGCATTCCAGGAGACAGAAGGTTTAACAATATCCGCAAGGCGCCTACTCACAAGATCATTCATTGCTTACGCAAGGGCCGCGAAGCCTGCTGGTCAGAACCTGCGTCCAAGGTGGAATCAGTGGCTGCATCTAGCAACAACCTGAGCCACTGGTAACAAGAAACAGGGGGGCAGTCGGATGGTCAGGCGTATGGTATGCCATTTACCAACTTGAAAAGACGTTTGGAACGGTGAGCAGAGTACTTTCAGAGGCAGTTTAGCTGGTCACCAGCGAGATCATCCAAAAGCATCAGCTACAATGATCCATGGTCAGTCAAAACCGACTTACCAATCGAGGAGGAAGTTAGAAAGAAACTCCAAATTTTGGGGCGCCATAAGGTATGCAGTCTAGACAATCTACCCCCGGCTCTTTTTAAAGATATTCTCGTCATAGCTTTGACTGGAATGTTCAGTAAAGTATAGGAAAGTGAGGATGGTCAATTAGTGAAGAATGAAGCCATCATTGACTCTATCCTTAAAAAGGGCCGACGTAGCACGTGAGACAACCATAGATAAATTAGTTTGCTACCAGTTGCATCGAAATACTGACTCCTGTCTCTCTTCTCGGTCTGTGAAAAACACGTGAAGAGTTGATTGACGAAGAGTAGGATGGGTTTCGTTCAGGTAGTGGATGTATTGATCATGTGTTCACCCTTCGTTCGTTGTTCGAATGCCACCATACGTATTGCTGGTCGAAAATCATTGTTTTTCTGGGTACTACGGTTGCCTTCATTTTGTTGGATAGAACTTCTCTTCGAAACTGTCTGTTAGAGTGGGGGTACCTGAGAATTTTGTTAAATACCTGAAAGCCCTATACAAAAATGCCTTAGGTAGGGTAAGGTTACACAGCTAGCTGTTTCTACTGTTCGCAATCAACAGTGCTTTTTAGACAGGCTTGTTCAGTCTCTCCATTTTTCTTTAATTTTGCCATCGATGGCATTCTGCAGTCAGCTGAAAAGGATGTACATGGTGGTTTAGATCAGTTTTCTGGAGAAAGATTATTCTATCTGGAGCATGCAGACGACGCCATTGCACTGTGTGATAACTGCCCACATAGCACTTAATCGGTTGTCAATCAGTGTCTGTAAGTATGGTATGTGCTTCGCGCCTTCTAAGTGCAAGGTACTGTTACAAGATTGGCAGGATCCTGTAACTGCACTCACTCTTGTAGAACAACAGCTTGGAGTT